AAGAGAAAAAAAAAAAAAAAAAAAAAAAAAACAAAAAAACAACTTGGGAAAAAAAATGAAACCGAAGTGTTGAAATGAGACTGGAGAAAAATACGCTCTTGGAAAGGGAGAGCGGGATCTGGATTCGCATACGCGCTTAAGTAATTATATATATATTTTTATAGATATATATATTATTCATACATGCGCATATATATTCGCTCAGAGGAACAGGCATCTTTGGAGACCTTCGAAGGAGGGCTGTTTCTGGCTGCAGAATTCACACAAGCTTTCACAGCCTCACGGGTCTAGCAAAGCCCGGTTTATGTCCACGAAGCTCTAGCGGGATTTCAATTTTTTTTTTTATTGTCTTTAATTATTGTTGCTTTTTTTTTTTTTTTTGGATCGAGGGATCCACATGGGTTTAGGTCCTATTTCCTTGAATAATTATGCCTGATTGATTTTACCTATTAGCCGAATTCACGGAGGCAACGAGCAGGTTTTACCGCCCCGAGGCTCTCCGTGAGGTTAAAACCAGGTAGCTAAATACTCGATTAAGCCGGGCGCGTTTCGCCCACTCGTGGACTCCAGGCCCCGGGGATCTGTAATCAATTCCCACGCAGGGCTGCGAAATAGCCCATTTTTAAGGTTTATGCTTCCAGTTTTTTTAGGGGGTCCTTCATTGGGGTTCACCCCACCCTCTCAGGGAAAAAAATAACACCCCACCAACACAACGGATTTGGGGATGGGTGACATTGCCATGACCTTGGTGGTGCCGGCAGTGGGGGGGGAGGCCACGCGTGGGGCCCCCGGCAGCCCCGTGCCCTTCTCCCGCCCCCGGTACTTACATGGCCGAAGGGATCGAGGTGGTTGTTGGTGAGTTTGAGCTTCTGGAAGGAAACCAGTTGCCTCATCCAGTGGGCACCAGTAGCCGGGGAGTCGGGGTGCACGTACAGCCGCCCCGGCATGGCCGGCTCCGCCTTCCCCGTCACCGACCTGCGTGGGGACACGGGCACTGAGCTCCGGGCCCTCCCGTGGGCTCCTGCACCCCATC